ATGCGAGTTGCAGAGTAACATGGCTGCTGGCACTTATATCCCTTCTTATAGGGGCCAGAAACTCACAGGAGACAGCTTGTTCGTGTTATCCCTCTCAGAGGAATATTTGTAATAAACTAACACAGAGGTGTGAAGACACATGTCCCTCATTTTCCTTATGTTGTTTCTCTTGTCTATGTAGGTCAGCTCACGTCCGTCTCCTTACAGGTTGCTTTAGTTTGTCAAAGCTCGTTCCTTGTCATCCAGATCCATCTGGATACTGCATTTGCTTGCTTACTGATCTTGGCCACTGACTTTCTCTTTGCTGCTTGTTTGATACGAAGCAGCCCCAGGCCTCTCCAAAGTGACTGTCCTGCAAATCCGTTACAGCTGGGAGAATCTATTCTCTCCATCCGGATGAAGGACTGATATTTCATGAGCATTTGCTTATGTACCTTCTCTTTCCTCTTCCCCCGTTAATTCAATGAGATCTCCCTGCTTTGGTCTCGAAGCAAAGCAAGTACAGCACTGAGATAAATCAGGTTATAGAACAATAAACGTCCTGCAAAGAACTTCAGACCCCACAGCTCCACTGCATATTGCTAAATCCTTTCATTCACACTCCTGTGGCTCTCAAATACTAATAAGGATTTAATGTACTTATGTAAAGTGATGACTCAGATGGCCATGGGGAAAAAAAAATTTAGACACTTGTAACTCATGGGGGCTTCTGTAAACAGGCTCGATATCTTTAATAAGTTTTCAGGTGGAGCCAAGAAAAAAAGCTGCCTGCACCGTCAGTCTGTAGCCACGCCCACTCGAATGACATCTCTCGCAGGCCACGCCCCGCGCACCTGTGCGCCAGGTTCTGCTGGAGAGAGCGGAGCTGAGTGCGTTTGTTCCGCGTCTTTTATGATTATTTTTATTTTTGTTTTATTTGAATATAGATAAAGTTTAACTCATGTAATTATGTAGTCTAAATCTCACATAAGAGAGTTTAAAACAGGAATTTACGTTGGGAGCTAAATAGCATTTTGTTATTTTTATTTATCTTTGTTCACACAATCAAGGGTGTGCATGTTTCCAAACCGAAATAGCTTACTTAGATTTGTAAAGTTTTTTTTTGCATTACTTTAAAGAGCATTTTGTGTGTTTGTGCTCTTATATTTGTGGTTAAAAAAAAGCTTGCAACAAATACTACTTTAAATGGTTTTTTAATTCAAAATTCTGCATTTTTGTGTTTTCAGTTTAGTGTCTTCGGGAAGGACTTGCTTGGCTCAGCTGCTGCAATTATCCAAGTAAGTATAAACGTTTTATTCATTTCTTTACACGTATCGCATTGACATATTTTCGGCGCTATCTACCCTGGTGAAAACGTCGTTTGCTACTAAGAAACCTTGCTTTCAATTATCTTTAAATAATCGTCTGAATACGTGTGTTCTTGTGTTTTCAGTTTGGTGTTTTCGGGCAGGACACGCTTGGAATTACCGATGTAAGTATAAACCTTTTTTTCGTTTACACGTATCATATTGAAGTACATAATGTATCTCCCGAGAATTCAAAAGAAGACTCAGACTAGGAGATACTAGATTTCTCTCGGGCAGAAATGGTTTTGACCCGACAATATTGTAGGCCTGCTGTTTATAGAAACGTTTTCTGCTTTCTGCTTATTTTATGCGTCTAATAGAATATTCAGAAACCGTTTAGGCTTTCGAATTGCATCACAACAATTAAAACAACGGAGCCTATAAAGATATGGATTAATAATTTGTGTTAACTAAATTGTTTCAGAAAAAGAATGCTAAAAAGAATGTGAGTCTGCAATCGACACCCCGTAGCTGTATTGTGCTTTGGGTATTCACACTTGAAATGTAACTGCTTCAATACCCTCTTTAAACAGGAGCATTTTCGGTTACACCAGACTAGGCGCTTTATTCTTGTAAATCTTCTGAATATGCCAGTCAATAGAAGCTCGATCTAACTAGCTGGGATCTTTTCGAGATTGATTGTAACCGAAAGTTAATACCGATTTTTGTTTTTTTGCAGGAAATGCAACGAAGTTCCAGTCTTCATTCCGGTCGCTGCCTCGACTGATAACTCGGAGAAACAGTAACGTGCTGTGTGTTTCTGTATCTT